CTGTTGGTATTATATTTGGTCTAAATCCCACTATTACAGCTAATGTTGGTATTATGTTTGGTCTAATTCCCACTATTACAGCTAATGTTGGTATTATGTTTGGTCTGATTCCCACTATTACAGCTACTGTTGGTACTATGTTTATCTTGATTCCCACTATTGCAGCTACTGTTGGTATTATGTTTGGTCTGATTCCTACTATTACAGCTACTGTTGGTATTATGTTTGGTCTGATTCCCACTATTACAGCTACTGTTGGTATTATGTTTATCCTGATTGCCACTATTACAGCTACTGTTGGTATTATGTCTGTCCTGATTCCCACTATTACAGCTACTGTTGGTATTATGTCTGTCCTGATTTCCACTATTACAGCTACTGTTGGTATTATGTTCGGTCTGATTCCCACTATTACAGCTACTATTGGTATTATGTTTGGTCTGATTCCCACTATTACAGCTACTATTGGTATTATGTTTATCCTGATTCCCACTATTACAGCTACTGTTGGTATTATGTTTGGTCTGATTCCCACTATTACAGCTACTGTTGGTACTATGTTTATCGTGATTCCCACTATTACAGCTAATGTTGGTATTATGTTTGGTCTGATTCCCACTATTACAGCTACTGTTGGTATTATGCCTGTCCTGATTCCCAATATTACAGCTACTGTTTGTATTTTGTTTTGCCTCATTCCCACTATTACAGCTACTGTTGGTATTATGTCTGTCCTTATTCCTACTAATACAGCTACTGTTGGTATTATGTTTGGTCTGATTCCCACTATTACAGCTACTGTTGGTATTATGTCTGTCCTTATTCCTACTAATACAGCTACTGTTGGTATTATGTTTGGTCTGATTCCCACTATTACAGCTACTGTTGGTATTATGTTTGGTCTGATTCCCACTATTACATCTACTGTTGGTATTATGTTTATCCTGATTGCCACTATTACAGCTACTGTTGGTATTATGTCTGTCCTTATTCCTACTATTACAGCTACTATTGGTATTATGTCTGTCCTTATTCCTACTATTACAGCTACTGTTGGTATTATGTCTGTCCTGATTCCCACTATTACAGCTACTATTGGTATTATGTTTGGTCTGATTCCCACTATTACAGATACTGTTGGTACTATGTCTGTCCTTATTCCCACTATTACAGCTACTGTTGGTATTATGTTTGGTCTGATTGCCACTATTACAGCTACTGTTGGTATTATGTCTGTCCTTATTCCTACTATTACAGCTACTATTGGTATTATGTCTGTCCTTATTCCTACTATTACAGCTACTGTTGGTATTATGTCTGTCCTGATTCCCAATATTACAGCTACTGTTGGTATTTTGTTTTGCCTCATTCCCACTATTACAGCTACTGTTGGTATTATGTCTGTCCTTATTCCTACTATTACAGCTACTGTTGGTATTATGTTTGGTCTGATTCCCACTATTACAGATACTTTTGGTACTATGTCTGTCCTTATTCCCACTATTACAGCTACTGTTGGTATTATGTTTGGTCTGATTGCCACTATTACAGCTACTGTTGGTATTATGTCTGTCCTGATTCCCACTATTACAGCTACTGTTGGTATTATGTTTGGTCTGATTCCCACTATTACAGCTACTGTTGGTATTATGTTTGGCCTGATGTACCGGTTCTGTCTCAGCGTGTTTACCTGTATATACTGGTACATTCTCCTACTGGACAGATCGGTATGGAATAATCATTCCTACCTGTTTGGATTAATCGCCTTCCTTCTCCTGGTCACTGATGGAAACAGATATATGTGAGTAACATAGAACTTTTTAAAATAATAACACAACATCAATCCATTAGATTGTTTATAAAGAGATATTGATTAAATTACATACTTAGGCATCAGATACATTGAATTGTATTGAAAGTAATCCTAAGTTCAAAGTCGGCGTTACCCTATTTAAAAAAAAAAAAAAAGTTTTGTATACTTTATTGACATCACTCATTGTTAACGTGGGACGAGCGACGGTTGGTGATCCGGGAAAAGAAAGCTGGAAGAACCGATCACAGTATAACAATGATGTTTATTTACAATGAAACAAATAAACTATATATTTAAAGATGTCACACTCACTAACTCACACACTCATAAACCAAATAATGATAAGTGTCCCTGTAGCTTCTAGCTCACGAAACAGAACAGTGTTCCTGTCAAACCCAATAGAGTTCCATACTCTGAATCACCGTGACTCAATCCAGAGTCACCGTCCTCAAGCAGTTCCACGCTTGTATCACCATAATAGGCAACGCACTTATGTCAATGACATGACAGCTGATTAAGTGCTGAATTCAAGTCGCCGACCCTGGCAGTGTAACTACTAAGTATGCTCCCTCGCTGACCTTGACCCTGAATGAAAGTCGTTACTTCTGGTCGGTCCTGACGCTTGGGTCGCAATGTAAAGGAGAGGCCTGCCTGGTCCTGACTCAATAAATGTTCCAACCCGTCATGTGAAGCTATAATGATTAACACAAATAGTTATAATTTCCACTCACACTTCCATACTATACTAACAAAACACATGGTACAAAATACTTATTATTTACCATAATTATTCAACTTTAGAATGAACCATAATTAGAAAATACTGAAATACGTTCATATTAGCGTCGAAATAATGTGCGGCTCCAAATTACGAACAAAATAAAACAAAATTACGAAATACACCAACTGACACCTCAAGGCTTCCATACTTTTCCCACTCGTTCGCGTACGCACTACGCTCGGCACTAATAAATTGATCAGGGCTTCCATAGATTTTAAAATCGACCCGAAACATGACATAGACTATGCAGTTTCATGTACAACACTCCAATATGTTTATATCATGTGCATATTTAGGAAAACAAACATAATATATTCAATTATAGTACGAAAACAACAAAAATGAAAGTTATCAACATACAAACAATAAACAATGGTCACGGCTGACTGGAGCGCACAGATACTTAGATTGTTTGACCCGATATATGGACTGGTACAAAACAACAATACCAACTAATATAGAAAAGAAAAAGAGATAAAGATTACTTACCACAGTGAGTCCCCTGTGCCTGTCTCACATGACGCTAAATGCCGATAAATCCATATCGGGTGCACGGTAACAATAACACAATACCTGTCATGCGAATCTCACCCCGTGCACACCTACCCGTGACGCAATTCCGCCTAGCGGTACCCTACCATTAAGGTGACTTACCCCAAGTGTGTACAAAATATACATGCTTACGTGACACTCATATTACTTAAACTTGGTCCCCATGGATTACTTTCCCAGCTTCCAAAATTAAGATATTTTTGTTGAAAATAGTTAATATGTTAAACGACAAGACTAACGCAATTGTACGTCTGAATGAATTTAGATAAAACAAATTATGATACAAGCATGTCTGATGGTTTCTACTTTGTAAGGGTCCCATGATCACCAATACTATTTATAGAAAGCCAGATAATGATACCAATATGTTGAGGAACATTTATTTCTTAGAGATATTGTTTAGTAATAATATGTAACTACCCCTTGATTCATCACAATTCTCTTGAAGGTCAATAGACAGCTTGATTTGGCCGAAACTTCGAAATCAGGAAGTTCCCTTATGGAATTATACAGTCCTCCGATTTCAGGTAGGTGGGTCAATGATTAGGTCCCCTTGTGGAATTATACAGTCCTCCGATTTCAGGTAGGTGGGTCAATGATTAGGTCCCCTTGTGGAATTATACAGTCCTCCGATTTCAGGTAGGTGGGTCAATGATTAGGTCCCCTTGTGGAATTATACAGTCCTCCGATTTCAGGTAGGTGGGTCAATGATTAGGTCCCCTTGTGGAATTTCAGTCCTCCGATTTCAGGTAGGTGGGTCAATGATTAGGTCCCCTTGTGGAATTATACAGTCCTCCGATTTCAGGTAGGTGGGTCAATGATTAGGTCCCCTTGTGGAATTATACAGTCCTCCGATTTCAGGTAGGTGGAACAATGATTAGGTCCCCGATTTTGTGGAAGGTCCCCTTTATACAGTCCTCCGATTTCAGGTAGGTGGGTCAATGATTAGGTCCCCTTGTGGAATTATACAGTCCTCCGATTTCAGGTAGGTGGGTCAATGATTAGGTCCCCTTGTGGAATTATACAGTCCTCCGATTTCAGGTAGGTGGGTCAATGATTAGGTCCCCTTGTGGAATTATACAGTCCTCCGATTTCAGGTAGGTGGGTCAATGATTAGGTCCCCTTGTGGAATTATACAGTCCTCCGATTTCAGGTAGGTGGGTCAATGATTAGGTCCCCTTGATTTCAGTCCTCCGATTTCAGGTAGGTGGGTCAATGATTAGGTCCCCTTGTGGAATTATACAGTCCTCCGATTTCAGGTAGGTGGGTCAATGATTAGGTCCTCCGATTTCAGGTAGGTGGGTCAATGATTAGGTCCCCTTGTGGAATTATACAGTCCTCCGATTTCAGGTAGGTGGGTCAATGATTAGGTCCCCTTGTGGAATTATACAGTCCTCCGATTTCAGGTAGGTGGGTCAATGATTAGGTCCCCTTGTGGAATTATACAGTCCTCCGATTTCAGGTAGGTGGGTCAATGATTAGGTCCCCTTGTGGAATTATACAGTCCTCCGATTTCAGGTTTCTTGGTAGAAAAAAAATTAACAATGAAATCGTAGTATCGACTGAGCATTTGAAAACATGAAAACAACGGCGGAAATAGCAGGCACTATGGTATTACAAATAAATCAGAATTTTATTGGCTGTTTTCAACACGAACAAGTACATGTATATCATAATGTTGTATATCAATTTTGTTGTGTGTTTTTTTTTATATATATATATATAATTAAATCCCCATGCTTGAGATATTTTATATTAAGGTCACCATTGTGACATGCGAGTACGCCTGTGCAGGTGCTTTTTTTCTCTAAAACATATAAGAAACCATTAAAACATCTCTTTTTTCTATCCAAGGTATTCGTAGTGTATTTCATTGCCGGAATAAAGAAACTTGATCCGGAATGGCTGTACGGATGGTCTCAGAGACTTATATCTGCAAGTTGGGTATTTGATATTTTTAGGTAAATATGTTAATTAATTTAATTTACTTACTTCAAAGTGTATATTGCATTTTGTTTCCGAAATATAAGATTTGTAGGTATCTTTCGTATGGAAAGCGGTTAAAAGGTAGAAGATAAAAATGAAATGTTATGGTGTACTAAGTCATGTCTGACACAATACATACCTGTAATATTGAAATGTTTTGTTAATATTAACACCACAATAAGGATGTTAATAAGGTCTATTTACTATGTTGAATCTATGAAGAACGTTCTATCCTATACTCAGACGTTTAATACTGTTGTTATAAATCCGTAGAAATATGTAATTCTACAAAGTATATTTGATTTTAGATTTTATATACGTTTTGTAGGTAGAGGAGATAGACAGCGACATCTAAATGTATATTATTTTTCCTCTTTACAGACCGTTCCTGACCAATCGCTACATCGACTTAATTATCGTCCATTGGGTTGGCTGTCTTCTCGATCTCACCCTAGGATTCCTACTTTTCTTTGACAAAACCCGTCTTTATGGCCTGATATTTGGTCTCTTATTTCATGCCATGAATTCCCAGATATACAGTATAGGTAGGCTTCCTGAATTACTGTAAATTACTTAGAATTCGTGAATACTTTATTTCGCGGACTTACCTTTCAGACATATTCACAAATACGCCAATACTGTTTTAGAAATGACTTTAAATTCCCGAATAATGAGCTGGTAGAGATATGGACTCCGATATAGGCAAAATGGATGCCATCCAGTTATTTTCATACCAGTAATTCCGACGGATTGACTCTCCCAGCATATTAACGCGAAAATAAGTCCGACGCGAAATATACGTGATTTTAGTAGTGTATAGTGAGGAAATAGATAAGTAGTCAACTTTCCAACAAATTGTTTATAATCTTAAACGCATCAATAAAGATAAGTCACGTTTGTTTGTATTAGTAAAAATAGATACTCTAGATTATTAGTATGACAGGTGGATAAAATGTTGGACGAAGATTTACTTGTCGTCAATGAAATTTTCAAACTTAAAATCAATGAAAGCAGGGAACAACGAAAATGAAAAATTGTCTTATCGAGTACAAAGAGAATAAGACCGTGTGTTCAGGAAGGGTAAGCGTCTCCTGATTCAGGTATATTCTGGTCATTCCAAGTGAAAACGCCACGTTCCATATGATTACAAGGTAAACAACAATAATAATGATAGTGATAGTGTTAATGGGAACAAACCAATGCATGTTGTTGTGATATGTAAGCTCAACTGGTTGGGAAGCAGGAATGCCAGTCTCTAACAATGAAAAATTGACAAAAAAGAATTTACATTCATCACACATATCATGTAGTTTGCCATACAGCCCTTCGTCTTAGATTTTTTGTGTGTAAAAGATGGAGGAAAAACAACTCAGTCTAGTGGTTTATGTTTTAGTGTCACACTACTTACACCTTCCTTGTATTTATATATATAACTGTCTCCCTTCGTTAGTTGTGTTACCATGATAGATACGTTCACATAATACAACATATAAACTAAGGTATGTTGATCCGAAGGTTTCAGGTTCGAATATCCTGTCGTAATTGTTCTCGATCATGATTAGTGTTATTTTTCAATACGTATTCCACGTATGTATATATTGCGATCAGTTCATGTCAGTAGTAATTTGCCGCTATGGTCATGTCGAGAATTTCCAGCTGTCAGCTTCACTATAACTTCTAAACATCGAGGATATCGTGGCGGTGTAATGGTTAGGTAGTTGTAAGATTTTTGGCTGGTCAATTTCGTGCCGTAGATCGTGAGTTAAAGCCTGGATAGCGTCAATAGAGCCAATAATTGTCTCCCTTCGTCAGTTGTGTACCAATGTCCAATACCGATTTATCGAACGGACCTCTTGGTCCCCACTATGTTCTTATAATGATTTTTGTTTTGTTTTTTGTTTTGTTTTTGTTTGTGTTGATTTGAACTCGGATGACTTGAGAAGTCATTTCTCAGAAGCCCTGCTTTCATCTTGCTAATATTTGGTCCCGTCTCTTCATGTTGGAAATCTTGTCCAGTTAGTCTGTTGTTTGTGCTATTGATTTAAGTAAAATATCTGGACTCATAGATGTATTGTTTAGGAGTCACTTCGCTGAACTTGAGAATCATTACTTTAGTGTCTTGTGGCAGCTTCGTACTAAGACATCAAAAAAAGAAAAAGAAAACACCGACATTTCAACAAAATCATAATTCAAACTCAAAATGCTTAACTTGACAAAAGGAAAGCATCACTGCATTACGAGAAGAAGTAGGCCAAGATCGACGAGGTCCAATAAGTCAAGGAAGATTAATCTAAGTAATGCCACGTTCACAAAGTGTTTCGTGAGATAGCAATCAGGTAGCACATTTTCGTGTTAAGTAAGTTAGTATATAAACTAACGCTTACTTGTCTTTTTAGGTATGTTTCCATTCATTGGCATGGCAACCATGACTATATTTTGTTATCCAAACTGGCCCCGAAGGATCGTCGACAAAGCATTATTCTGGCGGAAATCCATTTCTCTTCAGAGAAGCTGCCACTGTATCTACACAAAAAGCGACGTTAAACCGGAAACAAAAATCAAACAGGTACTGCGATTAAGATGAAATTTTAAGATCGTGATACGTCACCATTCGTCAGCATGATACACAGACAAGTGTCGGTTTCGAGAAATCAAATAAGTCATAGTCTTTTTATCACATATTTTGGAACCAAAACAAGAAGGGTGATCAGACCAGCAGCAATATAAAACATTTACCAACATAATATTAGTGAGCAGTCAAATGCTGTTTGTGGCATAAACAGAAGTTTAAACCAATAGACGTGGGAGACCTTGGTTGGCGAAAAAAAAACCGCAAAAAAACTACTTGTATCACAAATGTATCAGAGATAAAAGTGTGATGATAATATACTGTTGTGTGATGAATGTGATTACCTACAGAATTGTCAAAAACAAAAGAGTGTTTTTATCTTTTTCTACTTTTTTGCTCTGTAGCTTTCCCTATACGTGAACTGGTAGTAGTGATAACGTACGTTAAATAAACCAAATTTTGTAAACATTTCATTCCTTTTTTATGATGCTGCATTATCTATAAACACATAAAACAGAATAGTTAATAACATATATGTATATCTACCTCCTCCCAGACATCCACAAGGCCGGTAACCCTGGTAGTCCTATCTGTAATTCGATTTGCCACCTCACAGAAAAAATCTCATTGACTTCCACCTAAGACCTCATGTAGAAGACCTACCATCTTACTTGAAAGATACTTATAAAGAGCTTTCGGCCGAAGGGATTATTGAGACACCTAAATGTACACCACTTTTCTCGATTCAGATTTATAACTTTGTATTTGTTTTGTGTTCTATATAAATGATGTGATTTATGTAATATTTGTGTGTTGATGAAGGGACAAACTGCCTTGAAATTTCGCTTGTCCGTAGTGTCGTTATAACTTCATTGATCATATATAGGATCTTAAATGAGATTTTATTTCATGTCCTAGAAATTATTACCTTTTCGCACAAAATCGAACCTTCGAAACGATTATTTACCACATATCAAAAAAGTTACAATTTGACAGGTCTTAAAGTCTAAGTGAGAACAAAATCGCTAGTGACGTTAAAGGCGAATTTCTAGGCCGATTGTGTAATGGACATTATCTAATGTACAGGTCCCCTGTTTGGATATCGTTTTAATACAGTGGCTAAAATCAAATCATATATCAGATTTTGAATCAATAATTTCATTTAACACAGATCGAGCAACGAAAAGATAACGCAAGAAGCATGCCGACACGACCAGGAATATATCACACCCTGGGCGTCCTTTTTACTATAGTCTACATCGCCGAACAGTTATTTCTGCCTTTTTCATTCGGATTATTCAAGGTAATTTAATACATACCCTAAATTGGGAGTTTTTCTTGATTTTTACACAATGATAAACAACTTATTATTATTATTGTTTCTTCAATTTCGAAACATTTGCATCATATCTGTGAGCCTATGAATACAATACAGTTCCTTTGCGGGTCTGTATGGCCACAGTTAGAACTTTTCTGTTACAGGGCCTCGACAATTCCTTTGGGGGTCTGTATGGTTATACTAAGAACTTTTCTGTTACAGGGCCTCGACAATTCCTTTGGGGGTCTGTATGGTTATACTAAGAACTTTTCTGTTACAGGGCCTCGACAATTCCTTTGGGGGTCTGTATGGTTATACTAAGAACTTTTCTGTTACAGGGCCTCGACAATTCCTTTGGGGGTCTGTATGGTTATACTAAGAACTTTTCTGTTACAGGGCCTCGACAATTCCTTTGGGGGTCTGTATGGTTATACTAAGAACTTTTCTGTTACAGGGCCTCGACAATTCCTTTGGGGGTCTGTATGGTTATACTAAGAACTTTTCTGTTACAGGGCCTCGACAATTCCTTTGGGGGTCTGTATGGTTATACTAAGAACTTTTCTGTTACAGGGCCTCGACAATTCCTTTGGGGGTCTGTATGGTTATACTAAGAACTTTTCTGTTACAGGGCCTCGACAATTCCTTTGGGGGTCTGTATGGTTATACTAAGAACTTTTCTGTTACAGGGCCTCGACAATTCCTTTGGGGGTCTGTATGGTTATACTAAGAACTTTTCTGTTGCAGGGCCTCGACAATTCCTTTGGAGGTCTGAATGGTTACAGTTAAAACTTTTCTGTTACAGGGCCTCGACAATTCCTTTGAAGGTCTGTATGGTTACAGTTAAAACTTTTCTGTTACAGGGCCTCGACAATTCTTTTATTGGTCTGTATGGTTACAATTAGAACTTTTCTGTTACAGGGCCTCGACAATTCCTTTGGAGGTCTGAATGGTTACAGTTAAAACTTTTCTGTTACAGGGCCTCGACAATTCCTTTGGGGGTCTGTATGGTTACAGTTAAAACTTTTCTGTTAAAGGGCCTCGACAATTCTTTTATTGGTCTGTTTGGTTACAATTAGAACTTTTCTGTTACAGGGCCTCGACAATTCCTTTGGAGGTCTGAATGGTTACAGTTAAAACTTTTCTGTTACAGGGCCTCGACAATTCCTTTGGGGGTCTGTATGGTTAGAGTAAGAACTTTTCTGTTACAGGGCCTCGACAATTCCTTTGGGGGTCTGTATGGTTATACTAAGAACTTTTCTGTTACAGGGCCTCGACAATTCCTTTGGGGGTCTGTATGGTTACAGTTAGAACTTTTCTGTTACAGGGCCTCGACAATTCCTTTGGTGGTCTTTATGGTTACAGTTGGAACATGATGATTTATAAACACGACCCATACATCAAAATATACATCAAAGATCTCGAAACAGGAGAAAAAACAGATATTTCAAAATTAGTAAGTAGATGCATCTTAACCTAATGTACCAATGTAAGCAGTACACAGGAAAACTATTTAAATATATATATATATATATAGGCAGATTTGTCAGAAACTCAAAGAAGGACGAAAAACCATTACAGAGAAGGCCGAGGTAGTAGGAAATGTGCGGGAAATGAAAGGACGAAAACCCATTACAGAGAAGGCCGAGGTAGTAGGAAATGTACGGGAAATCAAAGGACGAAAACCCATTACAGAGAAGGCCGAGGTAATAATGTACGGGAAATCAAAGGACGAAAACCCATTACAGAGAAGGCCGAGGTAATAATGTACGGGAAATCAAAGGACGAAAACCCATTACAGAGAAGGCCGAGGTAATAATGTACGGGAAATCAAAGGACGAAAACCCATTACAGAGAAGGCCGAGGTAGTAGGAAATGTACGGGAAATCAAAGGACGAAAACCCATTACAGAGAAGGCCGAGGTAGTAGGAAATGTACGGGAAATCAAAGGACGAAAACCCATTACAGAGAAGGCCGAGGTAATAATGTACGGGAAATCAAAGGACGAAAACCCATTACAGAGAAGGCCGAGGTAATAATGTACGGGAAATCAAAGGACGAAAACCCATTACAGAGAAGGCCGAGGTAATAATGTAGGAAATGTACAGAGAACGGGAAATCAAAGGACGAAAACCCATTACAGAGAAGGCCGAGGTAATGTAATGTACGGGAAATCAAAGGACGAAAACCCATTACAGAGAAGGCCGAGGTAAGGAAATGTACGGGAAATCAAAGGCGAAAACCCATTACAGAGAAGGCCGAGGTAATAATGTACGGGAAATCAAAGGACGAAAACCCATTACAGAGAAGGCCGAGGTAATAATGTACGGGAAATCAAAGGACGAAAACCCATTACAGAGAAGGCCGAGGTAGTAGGAAATGTACGGGAAATCAAAGGACGAAAACCCATTACAGAGAAGGCCGAGGTAATAATGTACGGGAAATCAAAGGACGAAAACCCATTACAGAGAAGGCCGAGGTAATAATGTACGGGAAATCAAAGGACGAAAACCCATTACAGAGAAGGCCGAGGTAATGTACGGGAAATGTACGGGAAATCAGAGAAGGACGAAAACCCATTACAGAGAAAGGCCGGGAAATCAAAGGTACAGAGAAGGCCGAGGTAATAATGTACGGGAAATCAAAGGACGAAAACCCATTACAGAGAAGGCCGAGGTAGCAGGAAATGTTCGGGAAATCAAAGGACGAAAACCCATTACAGAGAAGGCCGAGGTAATAATGTACGGGAAATCAAAGGACGAAAACCCATTACAGAGAAGGCCGAGGAAATAATGTACGGGAAATAAAAGGACGAAAACCCATTACAGAGAAGGCCGAGGTAGTTTGAAATGTACGGGAAATCAAAGGACGAAAACCCATTACAGAGAAGGCCGAGGTAATAATGTACGGGAAATCAAAGGACGAAAACCCATTACAGAGAAGGCTTAGGTAATAATGTACGGGAAATCAAAGGACGAAAACCCATTACAGAGAAGGCCGAGGTAATAATGTACGGGAAATCAAAGGACGAAAACCCATTACAGAGAAGGCCGAGGTAATAATGTACGGGAAATCAAAGGACGAAAACCCATTACAGAGAAGGCCGAGGTAGTAGGAAATGTACGGGAAATCAAAGGACGAAAACCCATTACAGAGAAGGCCGAGGTAATAATGTACGGGAAATCAAAGGACGAAAACCCATTACAGAGAAGGCCGAGGTAATAATGTACGGGAAATCAAAGGACGAAAACCCATTACAGAGAAGGCCGAGGACGGGAAATCAAAGGACGAAAACCCATTACAGAGAAGGCCGAGGTATAATGTACGGGAAATCAAAGGACGAAAACCCATTAGGTAATAATGTACGGGAAATCAAAGGACGAAAACCCATTACAGAGAAGGCCGAGGTAATAATGTACGGGAAATCAAAGGACGAAAACCCATTACAGAGAAGGCCGAGGTAATAATGTACGGGAAATCAAAGGACGAAAACCCATTACAGAGAAGGCCGAGGTAATAATGTACGGGAAATCAAAGGACGAAAACCCATTACAGAGAAGGCCGAGGTAGTAGGAAATGTACGGGAAATCAAAGGACGAAAACCCATTACAGAGAAGGCCGAGGTAGTAGGAAATGTACGGGAAATCAAAGGACGAAAACCCATTACAGAGAAGGCCGAGGTAATAAATCAAAGGACGAAAACCCATTCGAGGTAATAATGTACGGGAAATCAAAGGACGAAAACCCATTACAGAGAAGGCCGAGGTAATAATGTACGGGAAATCAAAGGACGAAAACCCATTACAGAGAAGGCCGAGGTAATAATGTACGGGAAATCAAAGGACGAAAACCCATTACAGAGAAGGCCGAGGTAATAATGTACGGGAAATCAAAGGACGAAAACCCATTACAGAGAAGGACCCATTACAGAGAAGGCCGAGGTAATAATGTACGGGAAATCAAAGGACGAAAACCCATTACAGAGAAGGCCGAGGTAGTAGGAAATGTACGGGAAATCAAAGGACGAAAACCCATTACAGAGAAGGCCGAGGTAATAATGTACGGGAAATCAAAGGACGAAAACCCATTACAGAGAAGGCCGAGGTAATAATGTACGGGAAATCAAAGGACGAAAACCCATTACAGAGAAGGCCGAGGTAGTAGGAAATGTACGGGAAATCAAAGGACGAAAACCCATTACAGAGAAGGCCGAGGTAATAATGTACGGGAAATCAAAGGACGAAAACCCATTACGGGAAATCAAAGGACGAAAACCCATTACAGAGAAGGCCGAGGTAATAATGTACGGGAAATCAAAGGACGAAAACCCATTACAGAGAAGGCCGAGGTAATAATGTACGGGAAATCAAAGGACGAAAACCCATTACAGAGAAGGCCGAGGTAATAATGTACGGGAAATCAAAGGACGAAAACCCATTACAGAGAAGGCCGAGGTAGTAGGAAATGTACGGGAAATCAAAGGACGAAAACCCATTACAGAGAAATAATACAGAGAAGGCCGAGGTAGTAGGAAATTGAAATCAAAGGACGAAAACCCATTACAGAGAAGGCCGAGGTAATAATGTACGGGAAATCAAAGGACGAAAACCCATTACAGAGAAGGCCGAGGTAGTAGGAAATGTACGGGAAATCAAAGGACGAAAACCCATTACAGAGAACGAGGTAGTAGGAAATGTACGGGAAAGAGAAGGCCAGAGAGGTAAGGAAATGTACGGGAAATCAAAGGACGAAAACCCATTACAGAGAAGGCCGAGGTAATAATGTACGGGAAATCAATGGACGAAAACCCATTACAGAGAAGGCCGAGGTTATAATGTACGGGAAATCAAAGGACGAAAACCCATTACAGAGAAGGCCGAGGTAATAATGTACGGGAAATCAAAGGACGAAAACCCATTAGAAGGCCGAGGTAATAATGTACGGGAAATCAAAGGACGAAAACCCATTACAGAGAAGGCCGAGGCCGAGGTAATAATGTACGGGAAATCAAAGGACGAAAACCCATTACAGAGAAGGCCGAGGTAATAATGTACGGGAAATCAAAGGACGAAAACCCATTACAGAGAAGGCTTAGGTAATAATGTACGGGAAATCAAAGGACGAAAACCCATTACAGAGAAGGCCGAGGTAGTAGGAAATGTACGGGAAATCAAAGGACGAAAACCCATTACAGAGAAGGCCGAGGTAATAATGTACGGGAAATCAAAGGACGGGAAATCAAAGGACGATGTACGGGAAATCACAGGACGAAAACCCATTACAGAGAAGGCCGAGGTAATAATGTACGGGAAATCAAAGGACGAAAACCCATTACAGAGAAGGCCGAGGTAATAATGTACGGGAAATCAAAGGACGAAAACCCATTACAGAGAAGGCCGAGGTAGTAGGAAATGTACGGGAAATCAAAGGACGAAAACCCATTACAGAGAAGGCCGAGGTAATAATGTACGGGAAATCAAAGGACGAAAACCCATTACAGAGAAGGCCGAGGTAGTAGGAAATGTACGGGAAATCAAAGGACGAAAACCCATTACAGAGAAGGCCGAGGTAGTAGGAAATGTACGGGAAATCAAAGGACGAAAACCCATTACAGAGAAGGCCGAGGTAATAATGTACGGGAAATCAAAGGACGAAAACCCATTACAGAGAAGGCCGAGGTAGTAGGAAATGTGCGGGAAATCAAAGGACGAAAACCCATTACAGAGAAGGCCGAGGTAGTAGGAAATGTACGGGGAATCAAAGGACGAAAACCCATTACAGAGAAGGATGAGGTAGTAGGAAATGTATGGGAAACAGAGTTGATTGTTTTCTGTATATCATGATATTCTGTCTTCAACGTTCATACAAGAAAAATTGCAGCTTTTTTATTTCAGAATATTTTATTGTCATGCTATTACGGAGAAAAGGAGTTGGGCGACAGGCATGGCCAATGAAAACACTCTCCTTACTATTATATATGAAAGCTTAAATGAAATCTGCACTTTGATTAACCTAATTGTACATATTAATATCGGAGACACTGTGAATTTTAACTTTCTCTTGTTTATTTTCGATTTATTCTAGTCATATTTCCATGAATACTCTTATAACCAACCTCAGTGGTCTTAGATCTGCTTATTCCATAGAACTATTTTCACTATATCAATGTAGACTGATAAATTTACAATATTTCAATGTAGGCTGATCAATCTCACTATTTCAATGTAGACTGAAAAATCACTCACTATTTCAATGTAGACTGAAAAATCTCACTATTTCAATGTAGACTGATGAATCTCTGACTATTTCAATGTAGACTGATCAATCACCATTATTTCAACGTAGACTGATCAATCTCACTATTTCAATTAGTGATCAATCTCACAATTTCAACGTAGACTGATCAATCTCACTATTTCAGTATAGACTGATCAATCTCACTATTTCAATATAGACTGATCAATCTCCAACATTTCAATGTAGATTGACCAATCTCTCACTATTTCAATGTATTGTTTATATTCCTATTTTGTTTACGTGTTGTTGTATGATGTATACTTGAAATCACCAGGTGTCTGGTAAAAGCATTCACAATCGATGGGCATACAATCCGTCCATGTTGCTCCAGTTCACCAGATGTCTTGCCCGAAAAGTAGACGATGACGGATCCTTGGCCGGAACGTTCGCCATAACATACGACGTATGGGTCAAGGTCAACAACAGATTCAGACGGAGGTTTGTTAAACTAGATAAATTCTTTTTTAAATCAATAACCAATTTTCGTGTTACTCGTTCTGTGGAGTTTTCATATAAATGACAAGTGCTTGCTCCCGCCAGTATAGTCATTAGGAAGTAGACATGGTAGCAAAACGAGTATATTGTGATTAATTTGCCTATATGTCGTTATTACACCAAATTGTGAGATTGTATACTACAAGTTACAGTGATTCGGTCAGTTTGCGACTACAGCTGTTAGTGTCTCCAGTGTAAACAAACACTGCTGACGGGCCACTGCTCGTGTTGATTCACCTCATTCTCATGAAACATGGCATACAAGAAAACCTCTTTTTCGAAACGAAAATTCTCAAATTTTCTTTCCAAAAGATGTAAATCAGCCGGTGTAGACAAAAAAGTACCCACTTCACTGCTTCCCGCCACACAACATCTCAATGATCACGGGATTCTTTGCCAATGCAACATTTCATGGATGTATGATCATTTTTTCAAAATAGATAACGGCGAGGAAAATGTCATTTTTTTCTGCACTTGCCATCCAAGTGGTCATATCAGCGTTTCTTAGGAGCCGCGTAACTTCTATTAAATTTATAGCAATGCGCAAATTTCGTATGAATTACAAGATATTGAAGCATTTAATGTAATTTGACGGATTAACACACGTTTTATCTGAAGTCAAATTCAATCAATGTTATCTATGACGACATGAAGGACTATATCATTCCTTCTGTAAAATTTCGGCTGTTCCGGTACTTGGAGTTGATGACGTCAGTGACAAGGTTAGAGGCAAATGTTAACGCGTCATTAGCTACAGTAATAAAAAACTTCATATAAATTTAAATATAGGCATTGAACCGTTACCAAGTGGTAGTATACAGTCGATATGAATACAATTTGAAGTATATCAATCAGTCTTGTTAGCCCAGATGGAAGCGTGAGGGAGTTTTACTTTAGGATGAAACTGGAGTACGCGGGGAAAACCCACGAGATCGGGCAAATAACACTATTTCTTTTCACGTCCGTCCACAGAATCAAACCTCGAACCTCTCGGTAAAGGCGATTGTGATACCAATACATCGCCCCACCATCCTCTACTTATAAAATCTACTACGAAATTGGTCGTCTATGCAACATCTTATATGATACGTCCTGTTATGTGTTTAACCAGACTGTACGACCCAGACATGGACATGTTAACAGCAAGATGGGACTTCTTCTCTAAAACGGAATGGGTTTTACCACCGTTACCAGACTACTGGGAAATGCGGAACAAGAAGATGGAAATGATAAGGAAATTCAACGAAACTGCCTTCAGATTCCAATCGGATCTGCCAGGTAAGAACTGCTTTTTGTACCGTATTTGTCATTTATCGCCATTGAAAGAGATGTTGCTGAATTGCAGAGTGGAATTATCGGATATCGTTTTAGTACCTATGTAAAAGTACTCACGTCAACACACAGCTTTTTGTCACATTTTCAGATTTTTTGAAGTTGTGTTGATCAGCAGTCATATCTTCACGAAATGATTTTAGATGATAAAAAGAATGATACAGATATCAGATGTTTAAACACAATATGTTTTCGACTGCTACTTCAAAAAGATTTTTGGTTAGACACACAGGGTAATGACGAAAATAGACAATTTTAAATAAGTATTATCTAGGGGTCTACATTATTATTGCAAATCAAAAAGGAGAGGGAACTTGATAAGCTCTATTATGGGTGTAGTTTTCAAAGCAGTTTATTGCTGAAACAATGAAAAACATGAATGTGCGGTGTCAGAGATATATCGAAGCGAAAACCATTATTATTATTGTTTTTTATGTGTACATGAGATTCCACTAGAAAGTTTCATAGAAACTTTTTCATGCTCTTGTCAACAAACAACAAGAAACTACCAACAAGTCACCATAATCATAATCCAAACTCAAATTCAATGAAACTAAGGCAAATAAGGACAAAAAAATTACACTGAGACTCCTGAAAAAATACACCGAGAATAAGGGCATCAACGGCATCTGTCATGTAAACTTTTGTCAATCCAAGTAAGTAATGTCACATTCTTAAATGAGGACAAGGTATACGACAACATTACCAACCGGCAAACTAACTAGCTACAAACACGCCCAGCAAAGAAATATATTTCTCAATGACATTACTATGACGACCGTAAAAAACTTCTCCATAACTTTCATCTACCCACATCTTTTGAAACCCTGTGTTACGAGTTTATCAGTCAGTTGACGAATTCTTACACAAAAATCGTGACGGTGGGAACAGGCCCCAGAATATTGGATCAACTGTGACATGTAAAAGCCCTTGCTTGGGGATGCGGTAGTGTTGCCATCAAGAAATATGAAATTCACAATAGAGAAATTGAAGTCGTCACGTTTATCATACAGCTTGGTACAACCTTATATCTCATCTATACCACTGTAAACAAATGAAAACATTCCTTATTTCATATTCGCTATTCCATGTTTTATGATTGACATTTTATCAAGCAGTTTTTGATGTATTTGCAGCATGTGTGTATATACAATTTATTGTTTTAAGGGTATACAGATGTGATGCCAGTAAGCAATAAATCGGACTTAACAATCGGCGTAATGAAAGGAAAAGTGATCCTAGAAGATCCCCTCACATCTGAAAATGTTACCCTGGACAAGGGAGAGTCATTACTGGTAATAATGGAAATAATAAGATATCACACAAACTTATTCTACTCAACTCGAAAACAAACACCCGGTCAAACTTTATAGATATCACCTGTTGATCAAGTTTCAAACTATGTTAGTTTTGATTCCTTATAAATGTACACGTACGTAATATTAACGATTTAAAAAAAAATGTTTTCATCTTGTTGAATTTCTTTCGATTTGATAATTTTTGGCTATATTTAGCTTTGTTGAATCTTGTTTAGATGTATATCGTCGTATTTTGATAACCTTTATCTGTCTTCATTGATTGATATATCATATGATATTCTCCTTAGTTCCCACCAAGAGAAACATTTAAAATACACACAGTTTCTGACGAACCGTCGTACATAAGCATCAGCCAGCCAAAGGATATGAAGTTTGACAGGTATCAGAAAGCTTTAGAAGCCAAAGAAAAGGGCGAAGGTTTGTTTTGATTATCAATCATGTTATATTATAAACAACAGTTTCACAAACACGGGGTTCGTCTGAATTAACAATGAACATATCGGACTGAGAAGATACTACGGTAAACATATTTGTTAAAATATTCCTAATTGATTAAATGACAATTTCAAGGAGGTGATGTTTTGAAAATATTGCTGTCAGCCTTTTTTTTTAAAAGTATTGATATGTTGTTAATGAGTCTATAAATAACCACCAATCATCAACGTTCATAGCAATATCGGGTTTACTGTATACTACACTAAGTAAGAAATGTCTAGGTAATATTGCCTGGATATTTTACACACTCACTTGATTGTTTCGAAAATGACTTTGTAGATCCAGAAGGAAAACTTATGAAGGAGTTTCGCAAAGATGATAAAGACATATATGTATTTGACCAATGGATAGCTGAAATCAAACAGGAAAAGGAGACTCCCATAGGACCAGGATGGACATGGGACGGTTTTGTCACTTCCATCAAAAAACGCTTCTTTTTGATTAAACATGGGTAAAATATTTTTTATTTGCTATTGATTCGTGGACAGATTGATCAGTTGTAATATTATTGTACTACAGAAGTCGTCTTAGAATAAAGATTATTCCACTGAAACGTAGACATAGACAAGGCATACAATTAAAGGGAGACAATCACTTGGGCGGTCACTTCTTTTTCATATGTAATTATCTGAACAGCATTCATTTTTGGATGTATGGATAAAACTTTTTGAAAGGAGGGCGAATCGGTGTGGGCCGACTTAACACTACATTTCGCAAATTTTTGATGCTAACAAATCTGGTATAATGTCTATTTCAATATGACAGGACGTAAAATGTGTCTTTCATACTTTTACTTATTTCACATAAAGAAACCTTATTGTAACATGATACCATTCAAAACTGTATCTGACGATACTCTATTGGGACGGTAAATATAACATAACATGATGATATTATACTTATCGTGAATGAATAAGCTCACTGTTACTCTAAATTGTCCAAAAATAGATACTGTAAGTACATTTACACTTACAGACGTGAATATTATAAGATTGGAAATAAATTGATTACCAATAAGGCACTGAAAAGAGTATACTTATTAAAACACAAAGTCTTTTTCTCACATAGATATCTCAGATATTGGCATTTATTAATGAAGTATTTTCACTTTTGAAACATTTTAGTTCAGTTTATCTATTTTAGGGCGAGTTCATTCGGCATGTCCTTCATGTGCTTAGTTCATTCGATTTGGTCTATGTTCACAATGCGTTTAGTGGTACAATTTGGATTCAATTTCAACAAAATTAACATTCCAATTGTTAAACGGATTGGACAACAGGCTGAGCCTATATCACTCCTTTCCAGAATTAATACATAAATACATTACATTTATCTGCAAGAAAATCCAGTGAGTAAAATATCGTATATATCAAATTAGGATATAACAGGTAAAGGGAGGTAACTCCAATTTATTGTGGACCGTGAAGTAGTTCATTATGTCAGATTATTTTTCATAGGATTATAAATAAGTTGAAATAATACAGGTTTACTGATAATTTACCATGCAAGAATCCAGGGATTCAGGTCATAAAGTCCATGTGTATAAACACCTCGACCATCCACCCAAGGATATGCATAATAAATTATCAACAATTCTGCATTTACCATGTTGATAGGTAAGATCTATATTGGAGTTGGTCCTCTTAACAAAGTATATAATAAGTTAACAATTAGTTACTGCTACATAAGTATAAGTAGTAATCATGAATTTAAAGAATGCATTCAAAAAATACTGTACAATTTGGATATAGGATATTTTCCTCTACATGCTTGTGTGATATATATGTGTCCACTTTTCGTTACAGATTATTCTATGCGACAGCTGCTATCCGCAGTATACTCGGAGGGAAACCTTTTGAGGAATATGCAAAGGCTTCTAAAACATATTTTGATTCTGTGGTTTAATCATCATAAATGTATGTCGAATTAAACAGCAAATAAAGTATTCATTATGGATGTGTGATTTTTACTACCCTTTCTATATATGTGTGAAATACCGACCCTTTAATCGTTTATGCCTACAGATGAAAGTTCGAGTTTGCCTTTTAAACATCTATCTTTCATAAATGCAACTTCTACTATCTATTTAACAAACACAACAACACATATAATGACAGCTTACAACAGCACAATAAAACATATAATGACAACTTACAACACAACAATACATACAATGACAGCTTACAACACAACAATACATACAATGATACGATGACAACATACAACACAACAATACATACAATGACAACTTACAACACAACAATACATACAATGACAACATACAACACAACAATACATACAATGACAACTTACAACACAACAATACATACAATGACAACATACAACACAACAATACATACAATGACAACTTACAACACAACAATACATACAATGACAACATACAACACAACAATACATACAATGACAACATACAACACAACAATACATACAATGACAACATACAACACAACAATACATACAATGACAACTTACAACACAACAATACATACAATGACAACATACAACACAACAATACATACAATGACAACTTACAACACAACAATACATACAATGACAACATACAACACAACAATACATACAATGACAACATACAACACAACAATACATACAATGATAACATACAACACAACAATACATACAATGACAGCTTACAACAACACAACAATACATACAATGACAGCTTACAACACAACAATACATACAATGACAACGTACAACACAACAATACATACAATGACAGCTTACAACAACACAACAATACATACAATGACAACATACAACACAACAATACATACAATGACAACGTACAACAACACAACAATACATACAATGACAGCTTACAACAACACAACAATACATACAATGACAACATACAACACAACAATACATACAATGACAACATACAACACAACAATACATACAATGACAGCTTACAACAACACAACAATACATACAATGACAACATACAACACAACAATACATACAATGACAACTTACAACACAACAATACATACAATGACAACATACAACACAACAATACATCCAATGACAGCTTACAACAACACAACAATACATACAATGACAACATATAACACAACAATACATACAATGATAACATACAACACAACAATACATACATTGACAGCTTACAACAACACAACAATACATACAATGACAGCTTACAACAACACAACAATACATACAATGACAGCTTACAACAACACAACAATACATACAATGACAACATACAACACAACAATACATACAATGACAACTTACAACACAACAATACATACAATGACAACATACAAAACAACAATACATACAATGACAACATACAACACAACAATACATACAATGACAGCTTACAACAACACAACAATACATACAATGACAGCTTACAACAACACAACAATACATACAATGACAACATACAACACAACAATACATACAATGACAACATACAACACAACAATACATCCAATGACAGCTTACAACAACACAACAATACATACAATGACAGCTTACAACAACACAACAATACATACAATGACAACATACATCACAACAATACATACAATGATAACATACAACACAACAATACATACATTGACAGCTTACAACAACACAACAATACATACAATGACAGCTTACAACAACACAACAATACATACAATGACAACATACAACACAACAATACATACAATGACAACTTACAACACAACAATACATACAATGATACAATGACAACATACAACACAACAATACATCCAATGACAGCTTACAACAACACAACAATACATACAATGACAGCTTACAACAACACAACAATACATACAATGACAACATACAACACAACAATACATACAATGACAACTTACAACACAACAATACATACAATGACAACTTACAACACAACAATACATACAATGACAACATACAACACAACAATACACACAATGACAACATACAAAACAACAATACATACAATGACAACATACAACACAACAATACACACAATGACAGCATACAACACAACAATACATACAATGACAACGTACAACAACACAACAATACATACAATGACAGCTTACAACAACACAACAATACACACAATGACAGCATACAACACAACAATACATACAATGACAACATACAACACAACAATACATACAATGACAACATACAACACAACAATACATACAATGACAACATACAACACAACAATACATACAATGACAACGTACAACACAACAATACATACAATGACAGCTTACAACAACACAACAATACATACAATGACAACATACAACACAACAATACATACAATGATACAATGACAACACAACAATACATACGATGACAGCTTACAACAACACAACAATACATACAATGACAGCTTACAACAACACAACAATACATACAATGACAACATACAACACAACAATACATACAATGATAACATACAACACAACAATACATACAATGACAGCTTACAACAACACAACAATACACACAATGACAACATACAACACAACAATACATACAATGACAACGTACAACAACACAACAATACATACAATGACAGCATACAACAACACAACAATACATACAATGACAACATACAACAAAACAACTGAGACATCAACATGTAGGATAATCGACTCGAACTTAGCGGGACCATGGCAAAATTTCGACATAACTGAATATTCGATTTAAATGAGTTCGGATGTTTTGTGTAAAGTTAAGTAGGGACTGACGAAATACTTCGAATTAAAATGATTGTTCGATTTATACGAGTTCGAGATAACGAGATTCGACTGTACATGTAAATTAGTTTAAAATCGTATCACAACAACGACAATCGTGGATATTATTACACACCACACTGTTAGATACCCTAGATACGCCGAAAGTTCTTCGAACATAAAATGCAATCCTACATCAACAGGGTTACTTAAATTTTCAATAATGATCAGACAAATACTTGAATACTTCATTCTCGTAACGAGTCACAAACCTTTACAGACGGTTACTGTAATAATAGTTTTGTTATGGTGTTAACTTATTAAACATTCCAAAGTGACTTTTCCTAAGTCTATCAAATGTAACCTTATGTTAATCTGCTATGTTCTCGCTCCTTTGTAGAGTCATGACCACGAATGATGTTTCCGCTGACATCTTTGCTAGATTTGCCTAAATAACGTAGCATTGTACATGTATGTGGTGACAAATACAAGTACTCCTTTATAGTCTTTAAGGGTTTGTTTTTTGTTTGACGTAATGTTGACATTATAGCCGCTAATATTCGTTATGAAGCAATCACTATACAGATGAAGACAGCAATACAACCATATTCCACAGCAGCCATTAAATCCAATGGAAATATTAATAACTAACTGAAAATGTAGACACTTTGTCTCGTACGAATGCAATTTCTCGGGTATGTAAATGTCCCAAACAAAAGACCGAGACAATCAGATGGTTCACCTCTTTCAAAAATGAAATCGAAGTTAAATGTATGTTGTTCTCACATATCCCTAAAGGATTTTTTTTAAATTGTTGAAAGCACACTAAAGTAATCCGAATTGGAAGATTTTGATTTGCAGACTGCTTTTTAGGAAAATCTGCACGATCTAATGTTATGACTTTATTTGTTTTTATACAAACAAAAGTTTTAAAGAAGACTTTCCCTGGTGTCTTCCGACCAAAACCATCTAAAATGTTCCACAAAGTGACAGCGACCTGGTCTTCACGGATATTCTACATTGTTTGAAAAATGTGAAAAGTTGCACACCTTCCTAAACGAATTCATAACTATCCAGCAAACCGCAGACATACTCAAATCTTAACATGAAGATCAGAATAAAATGCTTCGATCATAATTTGTTATACTGCAAATAATTTCATTTCAAAAAAATATATTGTTTCAACAAAGGGACTGGAAAGCAGGCGTTCTCTACAGAGATACAGTGAACTTTGTTACACAATAAAAAACTCGATTTAAAGACCGTATTTTATATGGTGGAAGGGAGGTAACTTCCATAGTTATGATGATCACAAGCACTACATTAAGCATTCACTAATTCAGACCTTGGATCCGACAATTGACAGGTTCAGAATGACAAATAATAAATAATTACCGTATTGGGCTAGCTGACTGTCCAATGATTGTTGTATTTTCCGTGGACAAATACTCTAGACCATGGAGCTATGACTAGACCGATACAGATAATGTAGGACAATGATATCCTTGTCACTTCACAGAATCTTGATTTGACAAAATAAAAAACATTTTGTTTAAACAAGTATAAATGTCTATCAAATAATGGCCAGCAATACTTTAATATCCGCCATAACTCTCTTCCTCGGTTCCGTGCTTTCTTGTATTGGTCACGATGTTGAAGTTATCGGTCCCTCTTAAGACGTTAGCTCCGCGTAAAAAGTAAAATGGTACTTTGCACATTATGATAATAAGCGACACTTTTGCACTGTGGTAATGACAGTCCGATGTCGTAAATGTTAAATGTAGGTTAATTCCTTTCATTAAGAATGAAGACGTATGTGCACCAAGGACAGCAAAAACAGATTTATGTTGCTAAAAAGAGGGGTCTGCATAATGTAACAGAATAAATTGGTTTTTCCAGCCATTCAACTTTGAAACGTCGTTTGCCGAAACGCGTTTTTGTATAAGAGTGTTAACAAAAGTACTCTTAGGAGAACGGTTTAACTTTCACTTCTCTATACCACAATTTTTTTACCATTTCTGTAATCATTTTGCCCGATTTATCACTACCAACACACTATTGGGAAAACATACATGTGTTTTCCGGTGACTTAATGGTCTCAAATTAAAAATAGATAAATGAAAAACACAAACAAGC